AACGATGATCAGAACAATTTTTTTTGTCGTCCGATTATGAACTGAATTATTTGGAGATCTGAGGGTGAGGCTGTGTAGGGTAAGGGTGGGTCGCTCAACTGTCGGTCGCTCAAATGTTGGGGTCGCTCAAGTGTCGGTCGCTCAAATGTCCGTCGCTCAGATGTCGGTCGCTCAAATGTCGGGGCGCTCAAACGTCGGTTAATCGTAGACGGTACGATCCGCCATTTATGTCGAAACTAAACTTTTTGGGCAAAAATTAACTTTCCAGAGTTGAGAGGAGCAGTCTTAAATAGGTTCTTTTTAAATTTATTGTTGATATCTAAAAGAGAAAGCAAAAGTTACCAGTAGGCATCCCTGTCTCCATGCTTTAGATAGTACATAAGAGAACAGTTAGTTATATGTACAAGTAGAAGTCTCTTCGCTCTCGCTAAAAAAGAAAAATATATGGATTATAGATTATCAACCACACTGATTGCGAGTATCCATATGAGCCGGGTTGCTGAGCCTTCCTAGAGTGTGGCCTTCCTTGCTCGGTCCAGGTTGTAGAGAAAATGTTCTTTCCTAGTGACACATAACCGCTATAGCTATACTATTATGTATTTAGACATAATAATACGCTTAACTGTCTAAGAATTAAAAATACAAAACTAAAATATTCTATATTTCTTTTTCCAGTAATTTTTAAATACAGACCGCTCATATGGTGGTAGTCCCAAGATAAAGCTTGCTTCATTTTGTAGACTAGACAATTCTGCATCGATTCATACATAATACGACAGTTTTAAACACCAGGATGGTTTACTTTTAACCCTTTACTTCCCGTTGGTCACTGACGTGACCATTTGTAGATCGATTGCAAAAATTAAGGAAGCATGAAATTCAAAAACTTTCAAAACATTTTTTGTAGTCAACTTCCTGAGCTATCGATAGGTAGGTATAAAGACTATTTCGTTTCATCGCTTCGTCTCCGAAAAATTTAGTTAATGATGCAGTAAGTAATATGGAATGTATATTTCTACGTTATATTTTTCAAAAGTATTTAAAAAAAAAATTAAAATTCTTGTCATGCCAATTTTGTATGATATTTGTTGTTTCAATACCAATGCGAAATGAAATATTCTTTTTTAGAATATTGAACACTTTTAATTGATCAAACAGTGATTTTTTTTTCATCCACTGATGTTCATTGTTAATTATATCTGTTTTAACAGAGACTTTGATATTATTTATTGTTTGTTTATTAAAACTAAGACCGGTAAATGCTTTTACATATTGAATATATTTTGAATAATTGTTGCTAAACAATAAATAACTTTTATAATCAGCTGAATATTCTTTTGTTACTAATGAATCATCAAAATTTATTTCATATGAACGAACGGATGAGTAATCATGCTTCATAAATTGTAAACCAACTGGTTTAAAATGAGATCGTTTAAAGGGACTCGATAAATGATTCCACCATTCATCGATTGATTCTTTTGAAGGACATATCATTATTCTTCTGGATATATCTTGAAGGATTCTAGTTAATGTTATCAACGTTGATTCTAGATTTATGGGTCGAGCAACAAATGCCTTATCATCAGTAATAAGTACCAAAGCAAATATTTGATGTGTATAAAATGCAGTTATTCTAGTTTTAGAATCATCTTCTATTGTAATATTATTATTAAATATTGAAGTTAACGATTTTTCTATTTGTGTCTTGCTACCAAATAAACTTATCACTACTATCTTCTGATTTTTGTTGAGAAACTCACTTAATGCGAAAAGATTTTCATTAATCGCAATTATTTTATCTGTATCATATTCAGTAGATGAATCGTGAAGTACGACAAATATATCTCTCACATTTACAGTAGCTTCATCATCGACTAATGATTCCATCTTGATAAATTATCACCGTTTACTCTATAACATGAAAGTATGTAACATGATAGCGACTTAAAAGCAGAACATGATAATCAATAATCAATTGAAACATCATTGAATGATGGTATCTTATATATTCCAGATCCACGCGTGAATAAATGATCGGCTTTTAATCCATTCAAATGAATGATTATCACCCCAGAATATTTCTTCTATTAGATATGAAAACAGTAGCAGATTTAAATTTCATACATTATTTAAAACTTTTTAATCTTTCGACGTTTCGAATGACACAGCGTTTATTATGAAGAAAAGGAGAAAATATACGTATACAGTAAACAATTGCAACGAAAATATTTTTTTAGCATTCCGATCCGGTACATCTGCAGGCACTCTCGATGGAATCAACTATCATAATGTGAGTGTGTTTTCCTGCAGTTAAGTCATGTAAACTTTTTTTCAACTATATTTTCATCCGTGTCAGTAAATTATTAGATTAGAAGATTAGGAACTTCTGTTATTTGTGTTAATGTTTTTAGCTATGATAGAGTATCGATGGCTCTTTTTGAAATACAGAAAGGCCCTAATAAGAGGACAAGGATGTGACATAAATCTCCAACTTCTCGATTTACAAAGCACAGCTCAACAATGCTGAACTTTTCAATATAGTAAGAATAAATATGCCATAAATAACTGAACGATTTGCAATCTCCGTTCGTGAAAAAATCTAAAAATAATTTACAGTTAGTAGTAATTACTTGCTTAAAGCAAGTGATTTGAAAAATACTTGAGAAATACTTGAACAAATATCGTGAAAAATTACTAAGTATTCAAGCGTTTAGTCGCAGATACACCCTAGTGAAGCTTTTTTTCTCAAGTGCAGATATCAATAGAGATATCACACCTCAGCTATTAATATGTCAAAGAGTGTAAAAAATCGAAGTACGAAAATATTCGCAGTTATATGCAAACAAAAGTGTAAACCAAATGGTAATTTAAGAATCATCAAAATCTTTACTTCTTGTCTCTTTTATTTCTCGAGTTAAATTAATAGTTTACGATCTTTGCTTCGACTACACAATATTTTACGCAAGGTTTCTCACAGGCAGATGCTCAGAACTCTGAAAACTGAACGTTTCAATCGTCTTCTGGCGACGCTAGATACGTTCCTTAGCACATGAAGACGTTCGGCTATTTTTGACAATTGAACAATAATCAAATGAATAATTTATATTTCTAAAATCAAAAGCTAAAATACTTCATGACATTATAACAATTCATGTTTTGAGTGCACTGACATTTCTATATCCTGCCATTTTTCTTTTTCGCATCAACCAATGGGTAAGGAATTTATGAGAGAAATAACCGGAATGGCTACTGAATTGACACCAAAATAATAAGAACAAGATGACATTAATCGAATGGTATGATAAGAAAAAAAGCGCTAATCTCAGGTTCCATTTCATATAGTTCTCTGATTTTTTCATTGTATCAAGTTGAAAATCCACTTGATAATTAAACATGAATGTTTAGTTGAGCAAAACTACGTGTATTTATAACCAAGTAGTGAATAGTTCTTTCTACTTTTAGATTATAAGACAATCTTAACAGTAATGGCTAATTTTTTAGCCTTACGTCAAATCTGTCGTTGTTTTAGTACATCGACACGTCTCTATCAAGGTATGGTACAAGCACCAATTCAAGTATTCGGCTTAGAAGGTCGTTATGCAAATGCTTTATATTCGGCTGCATCAAAACAAAACCAATTGGATGTTGTTTGTTGATAAAGATTTTCAAAAACTAGATAAATTGTTAAAATCAGATAAAAATCTAAAAGATTTGTTACGAAATCCAATATTATCAAGAGAACAACGTGAGTGTCAAATTCGACAATATGTTTGTCTTGTCTATCCTCCATGGTGTAGTTTCAAACGAACAATATAAGTCCCCTAATAAAGTTATTTGTGCAAGAAAAAGCACGCTCTTCTGAAGACAAAACGAATAGGACTATTATTTTGACTTTGTTTATTTTCAGGTTTATCCATGGTGCATGAAATTGTTACGCAAGAGAAGCTCTCTGACATTACCAAATCCACATTAGAATTGCTGATTGGTAATAGCCGTGAAAAACGTCTGAGTAATTTTATTCAAGTGATGAATCGTCTAATGGTTTCACATCATCGTGAGTTGTTGTGTCGTGTTATTATGGCCAAAGAATTGAATGATCGAACACGTAAAGAATTAGATTCAATATTACAAACATTTGCACAAAAAGGTGAAAAACTAAATATAGAAACATTTGTGAATTCTGGCGGTATGGTTGTGGAAATTGGTGATAAATATATTGATATGAGTATACAGACAAAACTAAAACAATATACAGACGTATTAAATACAAATATTTAGAAAAATTAATATTTATTTTGTTTTGTTTCATAGAACAGGTCAGTGTATGCACACTTTATATTTTATTTTCTAATTCCGCGTAATTCCTATTTTTTTTTTTAATATAAAGCGTAGATTTTTCGAGCGTAGTTTGATTTTCAATACTAGTCAACGAGGACATGGAATGAGAATGTATGCTTATGAAAGGATACCATTTATCTTTGAATCTGTTTATTCTAGAATGCAAACATGTTACGTATAAATACAAAATTTCTTCAAAACAAGATTGCTCGTTTATGGAATATAATACGTACGTATTTATAATCGCTTTTTTTACACTACTTTTCTATGTTTATGTGGACTTTTAGAATGTTTCATGTTTATTCAAACTCAAGATAACCCAGATCCCAATAATTTAAAATTTCTATCTGGTAAACAAGTATTAGAATCTGGTACAAAAGATTTTTCCACAATACAATCAGCCTATTGTTTACCCATTGGCAAAGTAAAAATGTTTATTTCTAGTGATGCAAATCATAGCATAGTTTTTCTCTTTTTTCTCTAGACAATTGTTTCGTATAGAAGATATTAAATTCATATTTTTTAGTCCTGATTTTATAGCCGTAAGAAAAAAAATGTGATGATATCGAATGGCGCCCAATTAAATAGGGAATTTATACAGCAATTATGGATTTTATACGACAGATTTATCTATAATTAATGAAGATGAATAACAACTCGAAAATAGTAAGTTGAAAATGATATGTCAGAGAGGTAGGAAGCAGAGCCCAAAACGAATTGAATAATTCGGCATTCAGTTTGATTCCGTTTTTTGCCGAATCGAATCGAGTCGAATTGTACACAAAAACTTTTTTAATTTCACACGATGCAGACTCCTAAATGAATCGAATAATTCGGCATTCAATTCGGAAGAAAACTGAATCGAGTCATGTTTTTCTGATTCATTTCGGGCTCTGGTAAGAAGTAATGACTGTGAGGAAATCAGCAGATAGGTAGATAGGAAAGCAACTGGAAGCCGTGTTGGATGCTTCTCCGGATGTATTTAGTTCATGACCTCTATGCCAGTTTAGAAGTTATTCATTTTCTAGTCTTAATTAAAAGTTTAATGTCTGTTATTTTTTTATAAAGAATACAGTGTGTATCAAAGTAGAAAAAATACTCTAATAAGTGACTTTCTCTTGTTGGGAACATCATCTGAGTGCGTATGGTCCCCTTTGAACTTTTTTTTGTTTAGGTGTATTGTCCGAAGATGATGCAATAATACGTAATTTTACATCATGTCTAGGTCCAATAAAAACACTGAAAAATGGTATTCAAAATATGCTTTAGTTTGATATTCCTGAAATTAAAGAAGTTTAACAGTTACATCAGTTTTCTGTAGCACTCATATTTTTATTTCGTGTTTCGTTGATGTGCGTTTAGACTAAAGATATTGTAGATAAGAAAAGTAAAACAGAATTTGAACAATTTGTGCAGAAGTTAGAAGAAAAACTATGTACAACTGACAACCAACAAGAAGAAAAAAAGAAACTGCTTAACATAAACTTAATATTGTCATTTTTCTGTATACAGGTGCTATATGTAATTTATTTGAATTGTCTGTTTTAATTTTGATTTTTACACTTAGAATATAAAGAGAGTGTCTCAATCTTTTTTTTTTTTATACAGTAGTGGACAAAAGTATCCCATCGAAGACCACGCAACCGATTGAAGTAAATTGTGTGAAATTATAGGCCATATAATCTTCTGACTGCCACATAAATTTCAGCCTATTTAATTGTTTGGTTTTAAGCTATTTTACTTTTACTTATATTTCACTAAAATGCAAATGATTTTTGGAGTCAAGTAAGCACATAATCCTCTATGCGTGCTTGTCAGTTTTCCATGGTATAAATTTCATGTGATGGTCCTTGCTAATGGAAAAGTTCTGGCCATTTAATGATTGACAGCCACTTTTAATATTTTGGGTTTTTTCAACGCAACTGTAGAGAACGAATAAAAACAAAACTGTTCATTCGTCTATTCATATTAAAATGCGAGCTAAAGACTATCGTCAATGAACATACATATGGCATTAAATTTTTCAAACACATTATTCACACAAATTTTCAATTCCAAGTTGTATATCAGAATATCCGTCGAAAGTGAATGTATAATAATGAAATACTTCTGCTATGATAAACTTGAAGAGTTAACTGATGCCCTCTTCTCCATAGTATAGACATCATCTATACCTCATATTCATATCTACACAAGTCCACATGGTTCTTCAAAGTCATGCCAAGATCTGAGCATACCTCATGATACATAGCCCATCATAAAGATAATGTAACACAATCAGCATTAATCAGTTCCACTTACAATTTTTGGGATCGATATTGAATTGTTTTTTCTGTCATAAAATATGTTTCTGTGACAGTAAATAGCTCAAAGTATTATTGAATGATGTCTAAGTTCAAAACAAATCCGACGAGCTGATATTAGATACATGCATTACTCGCAAAGCGTACAACATATGATGCCACGTTAATCAAGAAATTTTAATTTAAGATGTGTTTTGTAAAAATTATAGAATTAACAATTTTGATGCGACAAAGCCTCTGTGCGATATGATTTGATAAATAATTTTTTCTTATGGATTTGACTTCGAAAATAAAATTTCATTTTTATTCTTCGCTTCAGCACACTGCACTATTCAGAACCCGACAGCTCACGTTTCTGAATCGAATAGCTGGATATACCATAGAGTTGTAGATCAGGGAAAAATACATATAAAATAAATATTTCAGTGAAATATCAGTAAAAATAAAATATCTCAAAACCCAACAATCCAATAGGCTGGCGGTCACAGATTACATAGTTTATAATTTTACACAAATTCCACTTCAATCGACTGCGTAGTTCTTGAGAAATAGGATGGTGAGATATGTGTACTACTGCGTATTGCTACTCTGCAGTATATTCTGTATCGAGTTTACCGTTCATTGAGTTCTAACAGAAGCGTATACTTCGTACGTAAAATGTCTCGTACAATAATAATGTAGAAATGTGAATTTATTAGTTTGATTGCTCACTATGAGTTTGTCCTTTTGAACACGTAAATCGAATATGTATAGAAAGGGAAAAAAATGTCCATTTCTGTTATTTTATCTGGCATGTTTCAGTTGTCAGAATCATGTCCTCTTTTACTTTACATTTCTGTAGATTCTATCAAAGATTTATTCATATTTATATTCATTCATCTGGTATGGAAAATCCTCTGTCTTATCCTGATGTTGTTAGCCGGACAACAAGTTCCAGTAAGTATTGTTTATTCTCTCTGTCTTGTACGGAATGAAAAGGTTGTGGGAGATTAACGTTAAAGATCAACCTTTTACAATTTGTTAATGCGATTAGATTCAAAACAAGCAGCCAATAATTATGCAGCGGGACTCCAAGTGGCTAGGTATGTAACGATTTTTGTGATATTTTCCAACATAATCCTATAATATTTTATTCTTTGATTTTAGCCTTTTTTCAGAATATGTTTTATTATACCCCCTTGATGTACTAAGACGTCAAAGTCAGGTAAAGTAACAAGTAACGCATTATACATTAGCGTTGTTAATATTGTAAAGATGATTCATTTAGATTAACAATGAAGCAATCAAATATCATCTTTCACCTGTAACAGTATTTCCCGTATTATTTAAATTATCAGCTCAAGTAAACGTGTTCTTTTTCGTTCTTTCCAATTTTTTCTTTAAACACTTTTTTTTCAGGGACCATCTGGTCTTTGGAAAGGTGTATTAAGTTCACTTGCTTATCATGGTTTAGTTATTGCAGCCGATAATTCCATGCAAGAAATTATACCAGTGAAAAAGTCAATAAATTTCTCGGTTTTTTACCGAATAAATTACTCAAAGGTTTTTATTCTAGAACCAAAAGTAATCGTACAAATAAAATTCGTACTATTGTACGTGATTTGACTATTCGAACGTAAGTTTCGTTAGTAGTAAATAGAGGTCTTTCCAAGTATTATTCTCTATTTTAGAGTTGCTTATACTCTTGTATCACCAATTTATTATGTAATGATCATTGAAAGTGTACAGGTATGTCTCTCTTGATGTTTATTGATAAGATGTTTTTTAATCTATTTTTATTTTAGAGTATGAGTGCATCTGATGGAAACATTCTAGATGGTTTACGCGATGCATTAATTCGTTTTATCCCATTAGTCGGTTCTTCTCGAGCTAAAATGTTACCAATATGGCAAATATTACTACCTACAATTGGCCTAATGGCAGGAAGATATTTATGCGAAAAATTTTTATACGAAATTATATTACCAACGTTGAATGCTATTCAAGAAGCAGATAGATATAGAAAAACAAAACAACAAAAAATTACACATGTAAGATATGCACAATTTTTGATGTATTTTCCTCGTATGATAGATTTATATTTTTTACTGATTTAGTTATCGATTGATGACGATTATGAATTGGAAGAGAATGTTCTTTTATTTGAAACTACTTATGCTTCAATCATTGCTCGCATCGCATCAACATTTCTCTCTCAAGCGTTATTTTATCCAATTGAAACGGTTATTCATCGGCTCTATGTACAAGGTGTTCGAGCCATCATCGATAATACAGATACGGGCGTTGGTGTACAACCAATTAATACAAATTATTTTGGTTTTATGAATTGTTTACGTTCGATAGAAGAGACGGAAGGAAGTGCGGGTCTTTATAAAGGTTTTGGATGTGTTTTTTTGAAGTTTTCATTTTTATATGGTGGAATGTTATTAGCACATGGTATAGCAAGAAAATTCATTCAACCGACAGTATCTTCAATTCAATCACCAATAATTCAATCACTTCCAAACTGGAAACAAACACCAGTAACGACAGCAGATTTAGAGGCAACAAGAAGATGGTAGGCTTAGTCGCCTGAATAATATATACTCTTGTCTTTTTCCGTAACCAGTCACTGTGATTTCATATCTCAGTTATTGTATTCTGAAAGACAGTATTCTTGCTTAATGGTAAAATTCAAGCAAGTGTGTTTTTACATGTCAAACAAAAAACAGAGTATGAAAATGTTTTTAGGAGGAAAGACTTAAATTTAAGAAGCTAAACTATGGACGAAGAGTTGGTTTAGCTTTCGTGAGTGAAAGAGAAATACTGTAGAAGTCATACTATTGTCACATTTTAATCACATTTAATTTGACTGTGTTTTATAAATGTTGAGTTGAGAGTTTTACGAGAGGAAACATTAGTTCAAGTAGTTAAGATCATCCAGTATTGTAAAAAAAAGGTATTTTCTACTATTCTCGTATAACTGGTTCTTGCACACATTATTTTTCACGCAATCTTGACGAAATTTTCACGGAATGTTAATTTTATCTATATTAAGCTACAAAACTTGAGTTTTTCCAGAGTTATCTCAAATATAGTTGTCAAAAAGTAGATCTTACAATTTTCCAGATTTATCGGGTATTTTAAGGATCAAAACATAAAAAAGGCTTAAGAACGTGTAGGAACACAAAAGATATACTTGTTCTTTTTCGCATTGTAACTGACGAGGGAACATATTTGAGTATCCTCCCTAGAAACGAGATGAAAAGTAGCCTATCTTGTACAGAATTTGATGCTGATTACGAATATGAATATCTTAGCTGGTACCTTCTTGGTGATAGATATCATTCTTTTTAGGCTAATATTTTTTTGTAAAGAAGCCAGGAAAATTGGAAAAAGATTCGACATGAAAGAGTTGTCTTTCTGCTAGAAAATAGCACATCCGAAAACTCCGTGCTTTCCTTTTTTATTAACAGCTCTCTTTTTAAGATCAAGTCAAAAGTGGACTCACGTGAAATAACTGATTGATATAAAGTTCTATCGTGTTTTCAACTTCGTACAGATAATTGATCGGAGGCAAGATGTTGTAAAACCTTGCACTTACGAATGGATAGATTCAGAGGAAAAAAGGATATCTTTAGCATATCTCAAATCACAATGTGATCAGACTCTAATTTCAAGATTTTTCACACTATCTTTTGAAAGCACTACATTCCAGTAACTATATGAGCTACGGATTTTTCGGCTATGCTATTTTATAGCAGAAAGACGACTCTTTCATGTGCAATCTTTTCCAATTTTTCCTGGCTTCTTTACAAAAACATACTAGTCTAACAATAGTGATACATACCTCGTCTAGAGAAAAAACATCTATAAGAAACAACAAGTGTACCTACAACATAAATTCTAAAGAAAGTTTACGTTAGATTTAAAAAGTTATTTTTAAATTTCCTTTTTAGCCAACACAGTTGAACAATCTCTACTTAATTTAAAAAAATAGGATTTTTCCTATTATAATATAGATGAATATATGTTTGTTTTTGACTGTATTAAATATGTATATATGTTACCATTTCTACAGATATAAAAAAGCTTGAAAATTTTTCTTTTTTGCTATTACTCATATATAAAAATATAAACGAAACATAATAAACTATTTTGTTTTTTTCTACGATTTACATCCATAAATCACTATCCACATTCGTTTTAAATTAGTTCATATATTTACTCATGTTTAAATTTAAAAATACCACTTGGTTGTTTTTTTTTAAATTCAATTACAATTTCGATAGTTTATTATTTTTTATTATAAAAATTTCAAGACTCAACATTGAAATCATACAAGCGCACATTGATGTCGTTGTGTTTGATTATTCATCTATAATTTTATTTCACATGCAAACTTTTTATTATTGAAAAACTAACAATACGTTAAATAGAAACAATGTAATAGAATAGATTATAGAACCAAAGAAAATAGATTGATAGTAAATCTAATTCTCATAGTTAATTATTAGAATTAGAATTGTTCAATAGAGTGATAATCATTTTCTACGTGATTTTAGTACGAGAAAAAAAAAAAAAAAAAACTTTTCAGATAATAATGTGCAAAAAAAAAAACTTAACACAAATGTAAAAATTTAAAATACAATTCATAAAAGAATAATGTTCAATCTATTGCGAAAACATTTTCGTCTATTATTCATTTCTCTTCTCTCACTTATTATCGTATTTCAATTTATAATTATCTATAATTCATATAAAAAATCGTATAAAACTGATGAATCTTCATCAATATTAATTAAACCTTATAATAGAGCAGATTATATTTTACGAGCTATTATTATTTACTATCCACAGGAGAATGAGCAAACATTTCTACCAGAATTACGATGGTTATATCGTTCATGGTGTGAAATGATGAAATTAGAACCGAAAAATTGGCGTACAGATTTAATTATATTTACTAATGAATACTCAGAATCATTAAAAAAATTAAAATGTATTAATAAAATTAGAAAAATTGATTTTGATCAACCACCTCAATGTCGTGTTATACGATATATTTCATTAAATAAACGTGATGAAAATATTTTAGTTCGTTTTACAAATATGTTGAGTGGTGAAATACAACAAGTAATATCTATACCAAATAAGAATAATACGAGTACATTTAAAAATGATAAACGTTCAGAAATGTTATTTAAAAATTTAAAAACTTATGTTTATATTGATGGAATTAATTGTCTATTTGAAGGTTATTCAACATTTAAAATGTATGATTATGTTTTACGAACTGATATTGATGTTTTTTTAACAAAAGAATTTGCAAATTATATTCCAATAAAATCATCTATGATTGTGGGCGAAGGCATGTATGGAACAACATATAATCGATTGAAATTATATCGAATTGCGCGAAGTATAGATTTAATGTCAACAAATATAAGTGATATGAGTTCGACTTGGTACGTCTGTTTTATTTCTAAACTTTATTTTTAAACAAAAATTGTATTAAAATTACTAACATATTTCAATTCAAGATTGTTTTAGGTATGGATCACCTACTATGATTCATTTAATATCTGATTTAACACTAGATTGTATGTTACACTTAGCTATACATGAATTTGCTCGAGCTGAACGCGATAATCAAGTTGGAAGAATATTGTGGCCCTATTGGTGTTTTGATTTACTTTCCTATTATGGACAACAGATGGCATTGAATCATCTTGTTGCCACTGGAAAGTTGAATGTGACAAATAATCGTCAATTATTAGATCAATCAACAACTAGTAATAATACAAATCTTGCTTTACATTTACATTGTGATTTCAATAATAATAAAACCAAATTTTCAAAAGTAGCATTCAAAACAGGTCTATATGATACTATAGATCCAGAAACATTATTGGTCACAAATGCACAAACATACGCAATGAAAATTGCATTAGAATCAAAATTGATGACTTTAGATCAGCTTGCCAATTCGTTGATAACTATAGGCAATAATATAGAATAAATATTTCTTGATAACAGAATTTGAGAAAACATTTCATATAATGGCATGTCTACGATATTGTAGCAATATAGATTTATTTTTTCTTCTAATAGATTTCACGGAAGAAGGTCTCCAATTGATAGATCGCTTTTCTACATAAAAGACAAATGGAGATATGTAATCGATGCTGCTGATTTCAAAATATTATAATATGGGCTACTTTTAGATCTTTGAAGGCCAAAAAATCATGTATCTAATGGCAAAAGTTTTACTCTCAAAATCAATTTCTGATTAGCCATTTTGATGAGCCTATGTCTGTGAATTTTTTTTGCCAGAATGTTATAAACAGTTTAATTCAAAAGCTAACTGAATAAAGAAAAGGTTAGAAAAATCAATGACTTCTAAGAAAAAGTGGAATAAGCAACACAAACACATGTGAGAATGATTTATTCAAGATACAAACCGATTTTCATAATTTTGTCTATCTTATTTTTATCCAATTTAACGATTCAAGTGAACTTTTTCATATATTCATGTACTCAATCATTATGGAAAAAGACTTATAAAGATAGCAATCATACATTCAACAGGTCTCCGAAAAAAAGAGATTCACGATTAATATTAATCATTTATATTCATGAACGAAAACAACAACGATTCAAGATACGTACATAACAATCAAAGCTCAATTATTTGACTTATTGGCGATTATACATAAACTCATTTTTTCTCAAAAATATTTTACTACTTTTATTTTATAAATTTCTTTTGAAATACTGTGACAGAAAGGTGCCGTGCACGTAGGCATTTCTGGTACATTACACGGTATTTCCAAACTGCCGTCAGGATATTCATATGACCTTTAATAGAGTAGTCAAATAGTAGAGACATAGCCAATAAGAAGATATCTCTTCTTGCATATGCACAACCAGAGATCAGCATGGACTGGACTAGAAATTTTTATAGGATGATCGGGCCGGGCTCAGGCCGAAAAGTATTTTGGTCGGGTCGGGTCGGATCAAGAACTTTTCTTGGCTAACATAACAGAAGAAGCAGGTCAATTTATTTAGTTGCATTTTATAAAGCAAAGCATCTTCAGTTGTTTGCAAAATATACACGCAATATATCTTCAAGCATGCGTAGGTTTCTACTTTATGTGTATACTCAGTACCGAGAAACAGTATCATCAGCGTTATGCCACAGCTTTATGATTATGTTTAGCTAATACCTATAAAGGTTGAAAAAAAATGAAAACCAAAAAGTCATGAAAATATAAATATTAGCTTGTCCTAGTGAATGTACTCAAGTGTGAGTACTCAAAAAGTACTCTGCTAGAAAAACCGGACGAGTATTCATACGTACTCATACATTTTTTTACTCACTGAGTACTCATGAGTGAGTAACAAGCACTCTGAGTACGACTTTGAGTACTCATGCTTGGGTATTGTTGAGTACTCATACCACTTTCGGCAAAATACTCATGAGTATTGTTCATCTGATATTTTCACA